GGCCATCTCCGCCAGGGTGGCCCTCGCGCTGGCCATGTCGCCCAGCCGGGCGAAGGCCTTCACCAGGACGTTGTACTGAATGTCATTCAGCTCGTAGCCCTCCAGCTGGAGCTTCTCCCGCAGCCGAAGAGTCTGCTGTAGGGCGTACTGGGCGGTCTCGGGGTGATCGAGCACCGGAGCATTGGCGCAGGCGTTGAAGAGCGCCGTGATGGTCGACTTGGTGGGCCGCAGTTCGAAGCGTTTCATCTCTTCTAAAAGCTCCACGGCTTTTCGAGTGAAGCCCGCCTGCCCGGCGACCTTCATCAGGAGGGAGTAGAAGCGAGTGTCGGTGACCTGGTAGCGCTCCTCGTAGACGTACGCCTGGTGGAGTTCGAAGATGCGCGCCACCGGAAGCGGCCGCTGGCGTTTCAGTTCGTTCAGCATGCGCATGTAGGCCTCGGGCGACTTGCGGCGGGCGTCCCGCTTGATCTCCAGCCTATCGTAGCCGTCCGCGTCGTCGGGTACTTCGGTTTCGGATTTTAGCGGAGCGGCGTGAACGATCTTTGAAGTTGCTACTGAAGAAGAAGGTGGTGGTGGTCCTTGTCGGCCGTACTGCTCGAAGAGGTCGCCGAAGCGGTCCGGCTCCAGTGTGGAGAAGTTGATGTCGCCTTCTCTGGTATTGTAGCGATCAGCTTTAGCATGGGTCCTAAGCCTAACATTCTTCAGTTGATTGCTGCTGCTGCTGCTGATGTCCTCTTCTTTTCTCTTTTGTTGTTTCAGAGGCAGGCGCTTCGTAATGGAATAGGCGGTGGCAAAGCTGCTGCAGGCCGGAACATTGATGACACATTTGGCCAGCAGTGGTACCAGGAGTCGACTTCCATTACCACCGGAAAGATGGTACATCCTGGTTGAAGAAGAAGAATTTAAAAGGGATTCTTTGAAGAGAATCTTTGGCAATTGTTTACAAAAATATTGAAGTTCTCTCACATGTGACGTTGGTGGAAATAGCCAAATCTGGCGACCTGCACTGTGGAATCGGTCGATTTGGCACGTGTTTAGCACAAGTTTTGGTGTTTTGATTTTTGTGATTCCCACTTTTAGGTGATCCAAGAAGAAGAAGAAGAAGAATGGACAAAGACTTTTCCTTTGTCGAGGGCGACGACGACGACAGCGGAAGTGAGTTTAGTGATGCTGAAGACTATGCTGATGACGACGGTCAGGAGGAGGAGGAGGAAGAAGAGGGCTTAGAAAACGGAGGCGAAGAGCAGCAGCAGAATGATGACCAAAAACAACTGCAAAATGGCAAGCCGAACCGACTGTCCAAGCTGCAGGAGCTCAACAAGTCCTCCAAGTACAAGTCATCGATGCACGGCGCAGACATTCGAAAGCTCAAGAACAAGGAGAAGAAGGAGCGGCGGGAGCGGGCAAAGGTAAAGCACTTGAAGATAAACTTTTTTTAGAAACTCTAATTAAAAACTTCATCATTTTTCAGGAGCTAGGCCTTCCAAAGCAGACGCCACGAACCATCGAGTCGACCCGCCTACCAAATGAAAACATCGTCGAGCCCGGGGACGAGGAGGTGGCGGTGGACGAGTCGCTGGACGAGATGTCCGCCTACTTTCGCAAGGAGGTCGAGCCGAAGGTGCTGATCACCGCTGATGACAATCCCCATACGAAGACGATTCGCTTCTGTCGGGAGCTGCGGAACGCCATTCCCAATGCGGAGTTTCGCTTTCGAAAGCGAGCCAGCATCAAGAAGATGGTGAAGGCGGCGGCGGAGCGCGGCTACACTGACATACTGATAGTGAATGAGGACTGGCGGAAACCGAGTAAGTAGATAGTAGTGTTCTAAATCACGGAGTTCTAAATGCCATTGCTAATCATTTCGAAATCCTCTTCCTCTTCAGACGCCCTCCTCCACATCCACCTCCCCGACGGCCCCACCGCCTACTACCGCCTGAGCAGCATCCGCTACGTGCGGGAGATCAAGCGGCGCGCCCAGTTCAACAACAGCCGCCCCGAGGTGATAGTGAACAATATGACCACCCGCCTAGGCCACACCGTGGGCCGCATGCTCGCCTCGCTCTTCCACTACGAGCCCCAGTTCAAGGGTCGCAAGGTGGTGACCTTCCACAACCAACGTGACTACATCTTCTTTCGCCACCACCTCTACGAGTTCAAGGACGACTCGAAGGTGGCCATTCGCGAGCTGGGGCCGCGGTTTACGCTGAAGCTGCGCTCCCTTCAGCGGGGCACCTTCGACTCGAAGCACGGCGAGTACGAGTGGGTTCTGAAGCGGCACGAGCAGGCGGGCGGCGAAAATCGAAGGCGGTTCTTTCTCTAAACAAATGAAAATCGGTTCCATTTGTTTGTTTGTTGTATGTACAGCTTTACTATTATTTATATCGGGTTAATCGGGTTCGGGGGTTAACGATGAACAACATCGGCAAAAGAAGAAGACGGAGAAGATGACAAAAGGCTATTATTATGGACGTGAATAAACAATGAATAAACAAAGAGGCGCGCGTGTGATATCACTGATGATGATGATGATGATGATCAAGAGTAGAAAAAATGTTGGAATAAGAGGTTAAAAAATCATAGATTAGGAGTAGTAGAAAGAGAGAAAATAGAGGATGTGAGCGAAAAACAGAAATAGATGATTGGAAAGAGTTGAAGAAGTTATTATGAAATGAGATGATAATCGGTTGATAACTGATGATAAACAGTGGGCGAGCTTACTTTCACTCGAGCTTACTATGGTTCTCACTGAGATCAGCAGCAGCAGCAGCAGCAGCAGCAGCAGAGGTCGTTTCCGCCTCTTCGGACACTTGATCACTCGAATTTGTACTATTGTTGTTTGAAGAGGCTGCTGGGATTCCCTTATTATTGTCAACAGCCCTCGTCAGTATTGCATTGCCATTTCCCGTCTGAACGTTGTACGTCTTGATCTTGATCGTCCGCCGGTCAAAGACGAAGGTTTCCGGACTTCGTGTTAGCTTATTACTACCTTCGTCCTTGTACCGATCGAACCAGCGGATGTTGGTCCGGGGGAGCGGCCTCCACTTGAAGCCACTTTTGCCGCTGTTTTCATCTCCATTACCATTACCATTACCAGAACCTTCCGAACCTCCCAGGTGATAGTAGTGCTGAAAGACCTCCTCCCCGCGGCAGGCCTGCATGGCAATGTACGAGTGGACAATGAGCCGGGGGAACTTGCTCGTAAAGTACGTGACAAACTCGCCGGGGATGGCGCCCAGGGCCGCCTGCAGCCGCCCGTCTAGCTCATGGTAGTGGTGACGCTTGTTGCGAATGGCCCGCAGCAGGTCCCGCACCGAGCTGCCCTTGTAGTTGCGGAACTTCCGCAGGTCCTCCTGGAGCTCAACTGAAAGCTGGCGGCGCCAGTCGCCCTTGCAGACGTCCAAGCTGCCGTACTCCAGAGCGGAGACCAGCGGCGAGTCGGCGGCCTTCTCGCTCTCAATCCGGTCGGAGATGTCCTGCAGAAAGGCCAGCGACTGCTTGGCGTTCCAGAAGAAGGGATGCTTCACCACGGCTTCGATTGGCGGCCGGGAGTCGGGGTCCGCGGCGACCATGCTCTCCACCAGCGAGTACACCGCCGCGTGCTCCTCCTCCTTGATCGCCTCCAGGTCGGTGGTGCCGTTGATGATGTTCGACTGGCGGCTGAGGAGGTTCCCAAAGGGGTGCTCGCCCCCGGTGATGGTGTAGTAGACGAGGCAGCCCATCGAGAAGATGTCGTTGGGCTTGCTCGCCTTGGCGCTCCTCGGCTCCAGAGTTCCTGGAACTCCACCACTTCCGCCACCGCCTCCTCCGCCGCCAAACATCTTCGCCTTGAGAATCTCCGGGGCGATCCAGCCCTCGGTGCCGGCGCTGAACTCCGTGGTGAGCGACTCCGAGTTGAGGATCTTCGAGACGCCAAAGTCGCTGATCATGATCTTCCGACGGCGGCTGGGGGACAGGGGCTGCGAGATGAGAATGTTCGCCGGCTTGATGTCTCGGTGGACAATATCGAGCGAGTGGAGGTGCGCCAGGCCCAGACAGGACTGGTGGAGAATGTCGGTGCGGTTAAAGTGGTAGCCCAGGGTTGAGCTCTCCTCTCCCACCTCCAAACCGTTCAGCCGTTCAATGTACTCCGCCAGTGTCAACTCCGCCAGCTCAATGGCAATGTAGAGAAACTGGTGATCGGTCTCGGTGGCAAAGTAGCGAATCAGGTGCGGGTGCTGCAGGCGACGGAGCAGTTCGATTTCCCGGTTGGCCAGCTGAAAGCAGTCGGCGACGATGCGCTTGACGGCCACCTCCTGCCTCCCCTCAAATTTGCCCTTGTAGACGCAGGTGCCGGCGCAGCCGCGGCCGATGATGTCCCCGACGTTGTAGGAGATCTTTCCGATGGAGACGTTGGCTCCAGAGCTGGAGCTTGCTGAGCCATTGGCTGAAGAAGAGGCACCAGACTTCGTCTTCTTATCACCACGCTGATAGACGAACTTGTAGGCAATGATGGCAAAGGCGACGATGAGGAGGAGGAGGAGGACCACCACCACCACAAAGAGGTTGATCACCCAGCTGGTGTAGATGTCCAGCTGGCTGGCCAGCGAGCCGACGATGTTGGTATTGTCGGGCAGAAGTTGAGGTGACGGCTGAATGACCGTGATTTTCTCTTCTATTTTATCCTCCTTCGTTACGACATTTGCGGGCACCGCCGGAATGAGCTCCGCCGGCCGAATTCGAGTAAACTTGACGCCCGTCNCCTCCTGCCTCCCCTCAAATTTGCCCTTGTAGACGCAGGTGCCGGCGCAGCCGCGGCCGATGATGTCCCCGACGTTGTAGGAGATCTTTCCGATGGAGACGTTGGCTCCAGAGCTGGAGCTTGCTGAGCCATTGGCTGAAGAAGAGGCACCAGACTTCGTCTTCTTATCACCACGCTGATAGACGAACTTGTAGGCAATGATGGCAAAGGCGACGATGAGGAGGAGGAGGAGGACCACCACCACCACAAAGAGGTTGATCACCCAGCTGGTGTAGATGTCCAGCTGGCTGGCCAGCGAGCCGACGATGTTGGTATTGTCGGGCAGAAGTTGAGGTGACGGCTGAATGACCGTGATTTTCTCTTCTATTTTATCCTCCTTCGTTACGACATTTGCGGGCACCGCCGGAATGAGCTCCGCCGGCCGAATTCGAGTAAACTTGACGCCCGTCGTCTTGGGAAACTCATAGTAGCCGGCCATTTGGAAGAAGTTGTTGTTTGCTGAAGATGATGAGGAGGATGAAGACTTTCCATTGGACTCACCCTCCTCCTTTGGGCCCTCAATCAGGTAGTCCGAGTCCTTTCGAATGAGGTTGTAGTCCACCAGAGCGCTGAGCGCGTACAGCGACTTCGAAGCGGCCAGCTCGCCAATGTACACCGAGGGAAAGAGCGAGTTGTGCTGAATGTTACTGACGTTGACGAAGCCGCCAATCGTGAGAAAGGGAATTCGACTGAGAACGGGAAAGCCATTCGCCTTGACGGTCCCCGCCTCGGAGAGCTTGTACATCGCCACGATGGGCGAGGCAAAGTGCGACGACCAGAGGAAGGAGTTCTCCCCGTTGGCAATGTCAATGGTGGCCAGCTTGCCGTTGGTGCTCGAGGTCAGGTGCAGGTACTCGTAGCTGTTCTGGGGGATGGAGTTCACTATCGAAGGTGAGTANGCTCGAGGTCAGGTGCAGGTACTCGTAGCTGTTCTGGGGGATGGAGTTCACTATCGAAGGCGAGTAGTCGAGAAAGGTGAAGTTGCTCAGCTTTTCGCGGGTTTCCGCGTTGAAGACGGAGATGGTGTACTCGGACTTGAAGAGGTAGAGCAGGTTTCGGCTGTTTTGTTTTTCGGTGTTCTGCTTGTTGCTGTTTTCGAAGGCGTTTGGCAGACTGCTGCTGCTGCTGCCTGATCTCGAAGAAGAGGAAGAACTTTCTCCGTCGTTTCCAGTGCTCGGACAGATAGGCGCGTCGCTGTTGATAATGTCCACCTTCTCGCCGGTGGTCACGTCGACGACGACCCATTCGTCCGTTTTCTTGCTGGTGTAGATCATCCCATCGGAGCTGCGACAGGGCGAGCTGGAGACTAGCTCGCTGATGGTGAAGGGCAGCTTCTCCAGCGGCTTGGGCTTCTTTTCGCTGTAAGCGAGTGAGCGAGTGTGAGCGTGTAATGTAAACAAAGAGGAGCGGTCAGTAAACAGAAGCCAAAAATAGAACCCAACCCAAAAGCGATCGATCGCTCAATCAAATCAGTTACCTAAAGCCATTGACCAGGTAGAGGGTGCCGTCCTTGGGGTCGGGCAGCAGAAGGTGCTGCTTCGAGGTGCTCGNCTTTTCGCTGTAAGCGAGTGAGCGAGTGTGAGCGTGTAATGTAAACAAAGAGGAGCGGTCAGTAAACAGAAGCCAAAAATAGAACCCAACCCAAAACCGATCGATCGCTCAATCAAATCAGTTACCTAAAACCATTGACCAGGTAGAGGGTGCCGTCCTTGGGGTCGGGCAGCAGAAGGTGCTGCTTCGAGGTGCTCTGCTGATCATTTTGATCGGTGGTAAAGTTGAAGGCCGAGGAGGAGGGGGAGGTCGGTGACATCTGGAGGATGGGCGCGTCGGTGATGGTCCACTTGACCAGGCCGGTGCGCTGGCCGACGGCGTGCAGCGAGCCGTCGAGGGTGCTGATCAGCAGCACCGAGTCGCGGATGGCCACATGCTAAAATGGTGGATGACAAAGAGACAGGAAATGGAAATGATCAACTTTTTAAAACGACTCAAATCACAGCACTTACCTTGTTCAGCTCATCGTCAGCTGCTGAGGCAGAAGTCAGCGAAGTTGGGCTCAGGACGCCCAGCAGACATAAACAAAGCAGAGAAATTTTGGAGGCGGTGGTGGTGGTGACAACACCCATCATTTTCTAAGGAGCATTTCCTTTTCCTTTTTTCTTTTTCTCGTTTGGCGTGCTCTCTAGCACACATATGGTTTGGTGGTAAAGTCAGGCAGACAGGCAGCAAATCGAGTGTGTGCTGTAGCTGATGCGGACCCAAAGCGCTTTGGTAGCTGTAGTGGCTGTAGAGAGTGAGAGCAGCTGCAGAGAAAGCTGCTTCTGCTCGACTCGAGCACTCTGTGAGCAAAAACACGCAGCAGTAGTGGTCTTTCTACTTTCGCTGCGGCAGAAAGCAGAAAGTCAGCAGCCTGTGTTGCGTCAGTTCGCCACCATTTGCACATCCACCAGCAGCAGCAAATCATTTGTATCCCCTTCTCCTCGTTTTCCTTCTCTCCCTTATCCTCGCTTTCCATCCACATCCATTACATCCAACTCTCGATTCAG